AAGATACAGAGTTTCCCCATTTTTAAAAACTTAGTAGTCAATTTAGTAGCCACATCAAATTTTTAGTAGCCAATAAAAAATAAAAGTAGTCAATGGCTACATTGGCTACCGACAGCGTGAGCCCTGCCGAAGATATTACTTCTGGAAAGATGTATTTTGTTCCTTTGACTCCTGAAACCAGGTTCCTTCCACTTTATTTGTCATGTTTAACATTAGAGCTAAATGGTACTCTCAAGATAAAAATTATCATTGTGCTTTCAATTTACAGATAGTACCTTCTCACTAGTTGTTGGTGGCAAGCTACTACGAAGGTAAATGGCGAGTTACAATGGATTGATCCTAGCAATGTTCATTAAATTTTGAAATCAAACTTTGCTTATTCGAACTCTTAATCTTCTATTGTCCTTTATTTATGTGATGTTCCCATACCGAATGTTATAGGTATGTCGAAAAGTATTTTATCGAGTTCCATTAGTTTGATTCAAAACATGACTGAACATAACACTATATGTATGACACGGTTGGTTTGGAACATACAGGTTTTGTTTTGTAAGTGATTAAATGTGCACAAGCTGTGAAACCTTTTAGCTTGACATCAACTTGATACACTACCTTGATTATACAGTGGATGACAGTATAAGAGCGTATCTCTCGAGTGCCGAAGGCGCCCGAGCTAAGCTCTTTAATGGTAACACATGCGTGCGTAAACAGAGTTGCTTCCCCTTTCTACACCTTGCCCTTGATTTTTTTCGTCCGGAAGTCGACGTCCAGTGGGGAAACAGGAAGTGTATCCTTGAAGCAAAGACAATTGTGTTTCAATCCATACATGAATATCTTCATATAGTGAAAACAATCTTTATGTTTTATTACTTGTTTATTCAGATACAAATTAATATACATTCTGAGTGAAAAAAGTGTATCACAAAATGTGAAACTAACAGACATGAAACTTTGTTCAGAGATTATCATACTATGATGTCACACACACGTCATAATCTATCGACTCTTTGTCGGTGCTTCAAGAACTTTTTTTGTCATCAACCCGGTTCTGTTGATATTTCTACCGGGAGATAACTTCACATCAGCTTTTGATTTCCATTTGTTGAGAATATGAACGAAATAATTGACATTTTTGAAAGTCTTGATATAGTCTTTATATTATTTATGAATCACCACTCATAAAAGAAGCAATGGAAAATGCATTTATGACGAAATTAACAATAATTTTCCAGACAACCAACCCAAGTGCAACGCCCCTTTTCAGCAACGTATTACTTTTTCACAACGCGTGCTGATTTATAACTAGTTACAGAAATAAACTGTAATACTTTTATTTGACATCATTACCTGTCTAACCTCGGTGACAGTTACAAAATTTGAAATTCAATCCGGTGTTTCAGACCACATATCGATCTAAAGACAATTTTAGTTACATCAAAGTATTAAAATGTTTGCTTATTTTAATTTCATTTTTCTTAACTAACATATCTATACGTTTACTTAGACTAATCGTCAAATATGTAATATGCACCTTTTTCTATAGCAATTATCAAAGAGTTTACCCCCAGCTTATCTCAATCATTCTTTTTGTGCTCTGACAGAAGCACACAGAGTTTTGTATTCTTAATATGGGAGGAAGCTGGAGTATCCGGAGAAAACCCACGTGGTCGGACAGGGGACCGGGATTGAATCAGGCCATCTTGGTTAAGACGAGCGCGCTATCCACTGCGCCACCCGACCCATCATATACGTTACGCACAAGAACAAATATCTACTTTAGTTTTGACTGGAAGAAATTGGCTTCATTGATGCAAAACTCATATTGTCAATACATTTTTACCAATCATCAATGATCTAAAATATCTACATAAGGGAGACCGGGGCAAGTTCGGCCATCCCTGATATTTTTTAGTTTTTGAGGTAATATTTACAAATTTAGAGATCTTAGCAGTATAGTTGGCTGGGCATTTAACGACGGGAGAATGGCGAGGAAAACTGTAATGTAAAATGACTTAACAGGAGAAAATTACTTTTGAGAGGGTAGAAAGAAAATCATGATCTCGCTTCTAGTTATGCGAACTTTTTAAAACGGAATTGCTACTTTTTTACAGTCAAACGGGTAAGACACTGACAGCTTCAAATGATAATAAATAAAAGCCAAGCCAATCATTCACTACCATATTGCTGTACGATAAGAATTTATTGAAATATCAATTTGGGCCCGAACAGGTTCGACTAATGATACCGTGGCAATGTCGGCCCATGTAGTTAAGGATGTACACCTCTGAGAAGTAAAATAATTCCTGTATTAAACTTAATATGGATTTATGGAAAAAAGAGTTAGCGGCATAGTAGAAAATTAAAAAAAACACCTATATGTCCGTGTGTTCGTTTTTGTGCTATGATCGTTCAAAGATACAAATTTAACACAACATGTGACTTTAGTGTTTTTGGGGGGTTTTGACCATTAGCAGAACAAATTCATACAATTTCTTCCAAGTGTGTTATCAGATATGAATGAATACTTGTAGAATTGATGAAAATATTATTTTCTTTTAAATTAAGGAAGTAATATTTCTTAATCTTATTCTTCTAACTCAGAAAACCGATTTTAGTTACCCCTACCCCCTTTTTTTATAATGAAAAAATATTAAATTTTTTTTACATTTTTTGCAGCTTAAACGCTTGATATAAAATATCTTTTATTAAAACTTTTTTTTAATATTTAATGAAATAAAGGAAAATGTGTTTCTATTCTAAAACATCCACAACAATTTGGGTCGGTGTGCTTTTTTCTTTTTTGTCCCATTATCATTTGTTATTTTTTTTTTCACCTTTTTCGGGGTCAAAAATCAAAAGTGCTTCAGTTACACTTAATATGTAAAAAAATTAATATCAATAATGTATAATTTTCCAGTTTGTTGCATATATTTTTTATCATATTAAACATTATAAAGTTGTACAGCAAAATTGAACCTGCTACAATTAAAAATGGCGACACAATGACAATTTAAGTGATCAATCTAGTGTCAAAAAGATGAAAATTTTGCCTTTTGTGAAGCGCAAGAAATACACATGATTACACATTTTCGAAATGGCCGCCGAATTGGTAATGTTTTCTAAATTCTTGTAAAAGAAGTTCTACAAACAACAGGCATCTAGTTTTTTTACTATTTTTCAGATGCGTGGTTGCTATCAAAACGAGACTTGAACGTGATTAAACCTCAGAAGAGTACATTCTTAACACATAAAAAGTCGTAAAATTTGCTGATTCCAATGGGGACCAAACTTACCCGAATGCCTGTCTAAACTTACCCCATGGCGGGGCTTGTTCGGCCTTCCGATCTTCCGAAAGAATAGTTAAATAATGTTCAAAAACGGACGTGCTGCCATACTTCCTAGAACGGACTTTAATATAAAAAGGACCGAACATGCCCGGTCTCCCTATTGTTATGCCGGTCTTAATTTCATCACAGCTTGTGTTTTATTGTTATTCCCCGACTAGCCGACTTTAAATAAAGTTTATCTTATCTCATTCTGAAAGGTGTACTCCTAATCAGTAAATATCCGAGATCAACAAAAGCTACTCTCCTTTAAGGCTTTTCATATTAGGAGAGGGGTAGTGTATTGTTTTTGTTTTGTTTTGTGCCAAACAACAATTTAATCCAACAAGAGCCAAAAAACACTAATTATGGACGTTCACCAAAAGGTATACATTAAATTTTAACTAGTTTAAAATGATTTAGAATTAAAAACAAACATCAATAGCAAACGAGATGGTAGTAATACACGGTACGTATGTAATATTTTGCACAAATTAATTGAATGTTAATAGTCATATACTAATTTGTTTTCATTAAAGAATATATCACGCATTTGTTGAAAATTGGTGCATTCGATTATAACCTGTTTGACTGTTAATGGTTGGTCACAAGCATGACAACAAGGTGTTTTTTCGTAAAAAGTAAGCATGTACATTGTATAATGTAGGTATAACGAATACGGGAGGTGAATATACATAGTGAATCTTTTCGATGGACAAATAAACCTAGGTTTCTAGACTAAGAAGTGTTCGATTTATACATAGCTTACGCTGTATACAGAAAGAACACACTGCCTATGTTGGTAGATGCTCAATCTAAATAAATCTAATTTCAACGTATACACAATATCTATTGTCTCCATGCATCACAGAGTGGCATTTCATAGTAGAAAAAAAATGAAATATATTTCATTTTTTTTTTGTACCGTTCTGTAATTCTCATATATAGAGTTTATAAAATTTCGTCGGGAGCATTACCTAATGGTAAGATACGATCGTACGGAGTATTGAAACTTAATATATATCTATGTGTCACCGCCAACATTTTGGTTTAGTGTACATTTGATCAAATCAATGAGATTGGCTTTGTGCTCGTTTTACTCACTTTCTTTTTACTTGACATCCCATTAGATTCAAATCCCCTCGCAGGTATCAATTCTAATTCACATCTCTTCACTATTGTTGTCAATAAGTGCCAGCGCAAAGGACTGCATGTGGTTATATGAAAGCAATATATGGTTGTTACGGCTGTCATTACAATTGATTTTATTTCTGTTTGTATCAGGTAAAATTTGATAACCAATTATATGTATCCATTTCGCTGCTCATTCCTGTTGCTGGACACGTACAGAAATCGAAGTTTGCCCTGTCGGCAGACGATCGCGACAGTACTCAGAGAGCGCGCGAGTGTGATGGGCGCGCTAGGTATCTAGTATGTTACAATATAGTTACTCTATGGCAGGGATAAAGTAATCAAATTACCGTCGTCCTTCCATTAACACATACGAGGATTCAGTCATCGACTTCTCCTTCGGCATCACTGCTCCGTCTAGTATCGTTTCTCTTCACGCTGTTTGGAACAGTAGAGAACTTCGAAAACATCTTTCCAACTCTCGTCAAGTGTCAACCTGTGGCATTGCCCATGCGCGTTGTATCAGGATGAAAAATAGTTCGAGAAAGTGATTCGACAGTATGTGTTCAGTTGATGTTATATGTGATAAAAGTTCACCAGAATTACGTCCTAATTAAGAAAGATCAAATGTACGTTACCAATGGAGATGATTGGAAACTCATGTAAGACGACATTTCATGTTTTCTTAGTAATAATGTGTTACGTTCGTATAGTCCAGCTGATGGATGATCAGATGGTTGTAAATATAGGTAAGTAAAGTTTGTTTATTCGACTCTACTTAATTTGAAACACTTGTTTATTACAACTATTGCTCTACTCTATCTCAATATATCTGGCTTCTGCTCATGCTCAAAAGAAATGTAATTAACTAGCCTAAACTACATCTTAAATCTTATTGCAACACTGTAAAGCGTTGTCATCTTTGATCATTTCTATCTTGGTCTATTTATCCGTGCCGTAGACTGTATCATTATTATGAATGTTCAGTATTTTTCAAAGCAATTAAAACATGCGAACCTCATAGGTTTGTACACAGCAGTGTTTCAGTACCCATTGCTCGGATAGATATCGAAACATATTTTTGTTTGCGGTACTGTATAACTTTCTAACGTTTGATGTTTTTTTTCTATTCATATCTGTATCGTTATATCATAAAAAGGCAAACAGTTGTGCCTTTATCTCGAAATATCCATAAACCAACAGCAAGATACCAGACGGTCGCACCACTTACATGTAGTGCTAAGAATCTCGTTTGTTTGCGAAGTTAACGGTAACAGAAAAAATAATACACTAGTATGATGAAGGCATTTGGAAATAAATGACTGAATTTATCGATGAACTATAAACAATATTTAATAATAACATAACGGTGTTCCTTAATGTCATTTAAATCGATATCACACTGACATGTCATAGTGTGAACCTGGTATATACTCTTTTTGTATGACGCCATTATTTAGTTCAGGTAGGTCATTTTTAAATCAATAATTATTTATTTTGTAATCTAGTTCAATCAGGTAAATTCTAAACCGTCTTTGATAGTTCAAAATGTTGTCAACGATATTTGATATGCCCAAATACAAGTCTCCATCTGAAGCAAGACTGCTTAAGATAAGAAGAATATACAGCATGTCGGATAAATAATGAGACGGGAACACTCAAGTCCATAATGCTAAATGTTGACCATTATGAGATTTTATGTGCACCTAAATTCGACCTCTGAATATCCGCAAGTACTAAGCAGAGCTGCTTTCATTGCATCCCCTCAGACATTGATCAATAGTGAATTGCAAGAATCTTCTCGATATAGCTCTTAAGCTTAATAAAAAAAAACAATAAAACATAGTTTTTATCTTCATAAATTTATTAAAAAGTAATGCTTCTAGTACCGTTATCTCTCTCTGATAACTTTGAATTCAAACATATATTAATTATATTTTAACACCCTAATGTAGATTCATGTTGTCAAAATCATTTTTTTATATTTATCCGATGTCAAGCTGGTAGAGCGTTGGAAATGGTGTCCGGAATTAAGTATTAGAATGATCGGCCAATGCGTATTGACATCCCACAGGAAGGGAATTCTCCCACAGGTCTTACAATGGACAATATGTGGGATTTTACGTCAATAGCAGAGCTAACCGTTCTATATTACATGCTCCTTGGGGCTTTCGCTTTGGGCGTTTGTACGCTCGACTATCTATTGTCTCATACTTATATCGATATTTTGCAATTATTTTGCAATGTTTAAACGACTGGCAAGCGCCATGCATGTTCATAAACAGACCTGACTGTGTAAAAGCTGTAAATATCTGGCAGGTTACGTAAATGTATCGGCCCATGAACTAAATATCCCTGAACTGCAGTATTTAACAATTTTACATTCTGTAACATGCACACGTAATATAAGGATGGTGTTCTGCATGAACTCCTATTTTACGGCAAGGATGTCATCAGGACTATTCGATTGTATTTTACTTAAAGGTATTCAATCATCAACTTCATCATCATTGTACTTTGATTTTTCATCCTAACATACATCACCATGTTATATTGATATACTATAGTATTCAGTAATTTCTCTAATGAATAAGTATACTTGGCCCGCAGTGGCCGAATGGTTAAGGCGTCTGGCCGTCCACAATCACTAACGTCACTGTACCCAAATCGGGACACTTTTTAGATGAGTAGCAATGGTCTACATACCAAAGTATCAGTTCCAAAAATGTTTGTTAATTTTTTCATTTAAAGATACTATTCACTTATCATGTCTATTATAAATTGATATTTCGAGCGCGTGGTTCCATAAATAGAACGTGAAATACTATCAAAGTTACGTAAGCCCTTGCACCGGCGTTACTGTACCCTGAAAGGGAACACTTCGGTATTTTGGTGAATATTTGGGGATAAACAATCAATATCGACAGTAAAATATGCCAAGTTGAAATATTTTAAAGTCAACGAAGGTTCAGATTTTTATTTTTTCTCCACACTCGTATTCGTTTTAATACAATAGACTTTTGGAAATGAGATCCAAATAAATAGCGTCGCACTGCCGTAAATCAGGAAAACTTTGTTTTGGGTATTACTCTTACCCTTACATTGTCCATATAAACGATAATCAGCAGCCAATAAAGCGTATATACAGTTAAATCGTCATAAACGTATTATCAAATGAAAACTGTAAACATAAAAGTACTTCTTTGCATTGCATGACAGTTTCTTGGGCCGTTTCCCCACATGTGTGCCGATTTGGGTACAGCGACGTTATCCGTCTACCACTGGGTCGCGGGTTCGAGGCCTACGTGGAGCAGTCGCAAGGTACTTGCTGCAGATTGGTAGTTTTGCTGCATGTACTCCGGTTTTCCTCCACCACCAAAACATGGGAAAGTCCTCACAAAGGACCATAGCTGTTAATAGGACATAAAGCAATTACAAATAAATCTCTTGAATAATTTGACATTATAGTGTTATAACTTTGCGAAATCAAAAGGGGATAATTGTGACATTGAGACACTGTTCACCTCTTTTTATGACAAAATTGTTTATTTTCTATACGTACGAGAATGTCTGATGTTTTGCAGTAAATATACATTTTTTCTCCTTCCTTCGTCCGTAGTCTTCCATTTCCCGTATAATCTTAATAAATATATATCTTTCTTCCAAGTATATTATCTAAGAAAAACAGGTTCCATTTACATACATGTTGTAACTTTGCAATATAAGCTAATCGAACGTGACATGTTATCACTATGCGACAGTTATACAGAACACCGTCGAATGCTCTCTCATATATATAGCATAGTCTCTCGACATCTCGCCAGCATGTTATTAAACTGGAAGTTTATTTAATATACAAAAAATGTTTATTCAGATATTGCGTAAAACGAAAGCTGCTTCAAATGTCAACCATACAAGTTCGGAGAAAGAATAAGCGTTGTATTCAATATAATGTCTACGTAAACTGCGACTTATACGGGGGCTGATACAGAGCCTGGAGTTGTCCGCCTTGCTTTGCAATATCTCATTTTTTGGCTTAAGTATCGTTCATTTGCCAAGCAAGGAAAACAATGGGCTCTGCCCCCCGTCATGGACACACCAGTCCACTAAAATGGTACTTGTTATAACCCTGCTTCACATTCAGCATTTAGAGACATGGCAACGGGTGGTCAACCCGTTGTCAGTATAATGTGACAGAGGGGATGATGTGCTTGGTACCTTCGGCATGGTATTTGAGTGAAGTAGCACTGCAAATGCATCATCAGGGCGGCGCTATCACAATCAGGACAATAAACAGTATACGCTGCTCACGCAAACATTTACACATATGCTACAAACAAGGAGGTACGGTCGTAAATGACCTTAGTCGTTAATAAGACATTTAACAAAATAAAACAAAAACAATCCAGACTGAAGGTCATTTTAGTCTTATAAGAAATGTGTAACATGCTTACAATCATAAGTACATACTCGTTTATATAGAACTTATTTTTTCTACACATATGTCAGATATGATATGAGATTAAATATTCCCGTATATAGTTTTCCTGTCAAACTCATTTGTAAGTATTACACCTTTGAATGTCAGATAATAAAAATACTACAATATATGTATAGAAATGCGGGTTCGTGTCTCGTTTGCCCCGCAAAATTGCATGTTAAAATAGGATATTGTCGATGCGTAGGCCGGTACACTTTATTGAGTTAACGTCACCCTAAGGTGTATTTCAGGCAATCAAATTCCAAAAAATGACAAAACTATATATGCAAGCCATCACTCTATATATCGAGATCTAAATCCCCGATATGATGTTATAATACACACAATAAATGCGTTATTTGACTCTTGGAGAAGCACCACAAACGAACTGGGCGGTCTGTAAAGAGAACATTTGACAGTTCTCCACAAATGGGAGACAAAATTATTGACCGCATCACAACTTCCAAATGGGCAACGCCCGTCAGACAATACACACAGTATGCCAAATATACGTCCCCAGACTTTTAAATGGCACACATTCAGGTCTCTTGAAGTTCATAAGCTTTGCCTTTCAAAACCTTACATTTGTATTTTGTATTTTACAAAATGTTTATCGCACTTGTCTTGGTGAACGTCAAAAGCAGGCGTTGGATTTCAAATAGATTTTTGTGTAGACAGATGTTATTGATTTGTTGTGTGATCTTGTAAAACTGATGTTGGGTTAAAGTGGTATCTTTCGTCTGTGTTAGACGGTAATCACATGAAGCTAACAAAGCAATTGAGGAACTGTCGCCGCATTGATTGTAGACGGCACTTTTGCGTGTCCGAGTTCCAACTTAACCGGTCAATGAAAAGCCTCTGCCCTATCATTGAAAACCGTATGTCCGAAGACATTTGGACACAGCCATGGTTGTCAATATACCATAGATCAAATGCGACACTTGGACATTGTGGCCTTTATTGGATTGATTCCCATCGGTGTGATTCGATAGTCTGTTGGGAGTATGGATTCTTTTTTCCCTAACTTTATAGAGTGTCTTTACTTAGTTTACAGCATTTTGAAATCGTCTTTTAACATAGCATATCTCTTAGTCCAGCTATTCTTTTTTGGTTTGGTTTTATTTTGTTTAACACCTTTTTCCAGATGAGATCGTTGAAGGTTTGGTGTTGGTTTTCGTGGGTTAAATGTGCAAGTAGCAGCCAAGGTCACGTAAGGACGTGCTTCCACGTGTGAATTTTGTGGATGCATGTGTGTATGTGAATGATTAC